GACACCCAGCCATATCAGTGTCACTTACCAGTGACTCAGACACAACACATGCGCCTTGCATTGACTTTTACTAGACTATTTACTTTTATTTTTTCCATTTCATAACCTGCAGCTACACTGGCCCACTTGGGAGAGCAGTTGGGGGGGAAAAAAAAAAGCCTCCCCCCCAAAAAAAAAAATCAAAACAGGATGAGGCAGTTTTCTTAGATATTTATTCCATATGTAGAGCAGAAGAAACACTGCCGTGACAGAGGCTTGAAAAGGTTGTGCATTTAAAAGGGAATAAAAAGAAAATTGCACTTGCAAATTCCTTCTCCTCCCCCTGCGCTCCCCTCCACACAGCGGCTGCACAGCAGCATTGTTTTAGTGTCACACACAGTCCCAGTCCTGGCCCATTTTGCAATCTGCATGAATTGGGAACATTTGCTGTGAGCGAAGTCTTTCGAAATCTCCACATTTTGCTGCTTCCATTAACAAATGTCTTTCCTTTACTAAAATAAGTTAGCAGAGGTCCAACAAGAGTGAGCAAAGGATGCAAAATGCAATGGCACAGAGACTAGCAGGGTCCCTATGGAGTTTTTAAAAACAATCAAACTGGAAAAGTTATAGGTGTTGTCTCTCCTGCAAGCAATTCTGAGGAAAGTACACTGTCCTTAAACCAGATAGAGGGCTTTTTCCCCTCTCCCTCTTTTTTTTTTTTTTTTTAAACTAGTATCCCTGTTATTTATGGAGTCAAGCCAAGAACATTAGTCCAAGCAACTCCCCCTTTTTTTAGCTGGACAGTTTTGGTTGGGATGAGTCTCCCGTGAATAACCAATGTAACTTTTCCAGCAACGCAATACCAGTTGATTCTGGTGCTAATCCAGTGAGGGCTCGATCCTGCCTCCTTACTCCGGTGGGGATTTACTGCAATGAGGGGTCAGGATCAGCCATTCAAGATGTTTCTCTACGCCCAGCAACATCATCCTCTCCCTCCCCCAAATCACTGAACAAATAGCACCACTTTAAAAAAAGTTTTGTTTTACAGTTGCCTATGTTACAGTAACTTAAGCTCTGCTCAGTGAAAAAAAGGAAAAAAAAAAGATAAGCAATGGTAAGATATCCATGTTATGGCTGGAACACGGTCAAGATAAGGGAAAAAAGATCTCCAAACTAAAAATCAAGATTCCCTTGTGTTGAAAGAGGGCTCTTAAGAGTTGTCAATATCAGGTTTGGGTTTGTTTTGTTTGCATGAAAAAAAAATCATACTCTTCTTATTTAATCATACTCTTCAGTGTGGAAGAATTTACTACATAGTAACATTATTCATCAAAAAGTGGAGGGCGGGGGAGAAAATCCCAGTATTAGAGGAATGTCCGGAAAATGACCATTCTTGCTTTCTGAAAATGTCAGCTGTAATAGTGGGGCTCCCCATCACCACTTCTCCTTCCCGTCAGGCAGGCGAGATAAAAATCGCAGCTAAATTACCAGCAAACTTTGAGCACTCATTCGAAATCCGACACTAGGAAAGTTCCCTGGCGATGCTGCCTCTCATTCATGCTGTATAATAACAGCAAATACTGAGAAACATCCTCGTCTGTCCCCCGTGCGAAGACCCAAGCAGAAGGAAGCCTAAGTGACACCTCGGCACAGAGCAGCCCCGTGCCCCCAGCTAACTTAAATCCTGTTGCACCTTGGAGAGAGGCGCCTGAGCACCGCAGTCTCAAAGTCAGGAAAAAAAAAAAGAAAAAAGAAAAATATAAAGGAATATGGGAATAAGCAGCGGGC